AGACCTAAATCTTCATCATCAAACTGTACCTCCATCGACACTAGGTCGGCAACGATCTCTTTGAAGACCGATATGTGGTTCAATACAGAACCACTCTCCTGCAACTTGTGTGAGAACAACTTCATCTTGATATGCATCTTACTGGTTAGATCTTTAGACATGCAGATCGATTCCAGTTTGAGCCAAAGTTCTGCAGCAGTCTTTTCCTGCAACACTTCTTGCAAAATATCATTAGATAGATGAAGTTGGATCAGCGACAGAGCCTTATGATCTTTCCGCTTCTCCTCAGCGGTCCATACAGTCGATTTCTTCTTCCCAAAGCTTTCTAGCGCCTCATCAAGATCCGAAGTTTGTGCCAGAACAGCCCGCATCTTGACTTGCCACAGCGAGAATCTCGTCTTGTAGTCTAGCAGCGGTAGATCATACTTCATCGACGCCATCGCGAAACCCTAATGTGGGAACAAGCTCTGATACCACTTGTTAGGAAACGATAAGCGAACAAACGATAAAGAACAATAGATCAATCACAGAAGACACGAGATTTAACGTGGAAAACCCTCCCAAAACAGGAGAGAAAAACTGCGGGCGCCAGCCAGCAAAATATCTTCACTATATCTGGGGTGAGGTTACATCGCCGCACGACGGGTTACAAGAAGTATATATATGGTGGAATCCTAAAAGGGATGACGCTCCGGCCCAAGCCTCCCGGCGACGGGCCTTCGCTCCGCTATGGCAGAAGCTGGCCTTTATTAAGTGCAAATGAATTTGGATCACAACTCAACAAGACTTGGCATACAAATATATTACAAGAGTAAAATCTTGTTGTGGATTACTAGTACGTTATATCTTTTCAGGGGGATAAAATCAGTTGTTGGTAATAAGATTGCATTCTACTACACTAATGTGGAATTAGAAAAGGTGAAAGATCTACAAAACAGCTTCACTCATGACAACTGACAAGTGAATACAACAAATTATGGATCAAATTTCTATTTATCTGTCAGACAAACATGGACATGGGAAAGCATTTCATACTAATCCCAAAGAAACAGCTCGTTTTTACGATAGGCACAAACAGCTAAACATGGCAATAAGTAACTTAATAGGGAAAAATGAGGAAGGAATTAATAGTCCAGTGCAATGTAAACCTACTAAAACAAAGAAAGACTCGTGATAAATTAGTTCAGTTTCAAAGATTATTAAGAAAAATACAAGTGTTTCTCGCTTCCTCCATACAAACAAGAAAATACTGATAGGCATATCAATGAAAAGTAACAAGGTAAACAGTCCATAGTTTCTTACTGGTACAGGTTGCTCCTCAACTGTCATTCCACCTTTGGCGTTTGGATCACTGTATCAAAATGAAACAACAGCAGAAGCATCACCTTTTGAGATGTCGGAATTAGTAAGTAAAAGTTCAACAAAATGCAACACTGCGTTTGCAACCTTGAAAGTAATAGCAACAGCAACATACCAAACAGAAAAAAAAAACTACCAACCTCTGGGCGTTACCTTGACCATTACAGAGGCCATCGTATCCATAGTTGAAGCAATCTAAAAGAAAAGCAATAAGTGTCAAATCTCCTAAAAACGAATCATTTTCTTATGAGACATGCTCACATGAAGGGCCATGAATTGTCTTTTGAGATAATGGAAATGGTTTATATCTCTGGCCCATGTCTTAATGCACGCATCTAATAAATTTTGCTAATGAGAAAAAAATAGAGTATGAGTTTGAACATTAAAGTTAACTTTTATTTGAAGCTGCAGACATAGTAATGAATAATAGATCAACGTCAATCCCTTCATACCAAGAATTTCAATTGACTAAAGGTACGCCAGCAAGAAACAGGAATAATGTAAACACTTGACACCAATTCGCTATCTTTCTTGTTCTCAAGTAAATTGACAAGTACTGAAGTCTACTCTGCTACCAATCAAAGTTCATAGGTACCAACTAACAACATAGTCACCCTACTAGTGTGCCAATGTTGACTGATGGCTTAGTTCTTTTAAACTTCACTAATACAAAGATGCCGTGTGCAATTCATAGTGATCGCATTAAGTTTATAGCCCACCTGAGTATTATGAAATCATAGAAGAGTACAAGACACCTAACTGTTTAATACGCGATCATCGTGCTTGAAAAAGGTAACACGGTAATAATCGACGAATTACACACAAATTATACTGAACTACGCAGGGTCAAGTGCCCAAAACCTTCAGGGCGATTTTGACACAAGAGGTTTTGAGCAATCAGGACAAGCACCTAAAACCGATGGGTTTCCATGGGTCTAAGCAATCCATCCCCAATTCCCAAATTAACAACCGAAACTCTGGTTTGACAAATAGTATGCAAACACATGTCGCAGTGCACGATTTTGCTTCGAAATGCTTGTGCTCAAAATAGAAGTGTTCATCAAATGCATCTCACATTGAGCGTAACATGAAGTGTCCCTGTCCATTTCCCTGGCTCGCTCCTTCTCCAAGCCGATGGTCGCGAACCTGCACCACACCAAATCCCAAATGCGCGCGCGTGCACGCACGCACAGGACACACAATAGTTTGAAAGCATGAGCACAGAAGAACCCAAAACCCCCGAGACAAGCAAAAGGTGAACCGAAACGTCTCGCTCTCGCGCCTCACCTCTCTCCGCGCGGTGGACTGCGGCAGCCGACCGGGTCGTCCAAGCGCAGCGGCGGTGAAGGCGACCTCTCGGACGTAGGAGTGGGGCTGGCGCTCCTCATCTCAGCACGCGGAGGCGCGGCGGCCCCCTCCAGGTGATCGCTGAGGCGGTCGGGGCGTGAGGAGCCGAGCGGGGGTGGGAGAGGGAGCAGCTCGCCCTCTGGTGAGCGATCTCGCTTGAGTCCTGGAGTTGGTGACGGCGGGGGCGGTGGATGAAAGAGCGGCAGGTCCACCCGCGTGCGATGGCCGTCGTCCCGCGGAGGTGGAGGAGGAGGCGGCGGAGGAGGAGGAGGAGAGCGGAGGTCGGGGTCGACGGGGAAGCGGAGCATGTCCGCCATTGGAATGGAGGAGGCGCGGCCGCGAGCCCCGCCTAGGGTTTTGGGGATTTTGGGGGTGGTTGAGGCGACGAGCACGAGAGAGAGAGAGAGGGGGGGGCTTGGAAGAGAAGGGAGAGCGCGAGCAAGACGACGAAAGAGAAAAAAGCAAGAGAGGCGGGGAAGAAGCAGAGGCAGAGGAGAGAGAAGCCAATTGCCACTTGCCAGCATCTTGCCTTGCCAGTTGGCAGCCTAATTCGTACGGATTGGCCCTGGGCCGAAATCATTCATGGGCTTTTAGTATATGTGACTAATTCCAGAGGAAAAAGTACACCGAAGGTCCCTCAACTTGTCATCGAGTTAAAAAATCGTCCCCCAACCGCAAAACCAGATATCCGGCATCTCTTAACTAATTAAAACCGGTCACAATAAATTCTTCGGTGATTTTGACACCGGTTTTGTCCGACGTGGCAGCTGATTTAATGTGGGACCCACATGTGCCCCACATGTCAGGCTGACTCATCTATCTCCCTTCTCTTCTCTTTCTCGGTTCCTCCTCTCTCTCTCTCTGCCCAGGCTGGTCGGCGGGTGTGCACTGGCCGTGCGCGGGCGTCGACTGGGAGATGCGAGCTTGCACAGGCGTCGACGGGGCTAGGCGGGAGAGGATGAGGAGGACGGTGCCACGACGGCCATGGTGGAGAAGCACAGTGGCAGCCCACCGGAGCTCCACGGTGCAAACGTCGACAGGGCGAGGCGGAGAGGAGGAGGACGGCGCCGCGACGGTTGCAGTGGCGAAGCACTGCGGCAGCCCGTGTGGAGCTCGGATTGGGATCATGTGCACATGCCAGTGATAATGGCACGGTGCAGTTGACTACAGAGGATTCTGACTCGTGGAGCTCCACGGCACGGGCGTGCACCGGCCGTGCGCAGGCCTCAACGGGGAGGCGCGGGCGGCAGGAAGACGCGGGCTAGCTCTCTGTCCGCGTACTTGTCACAACATATCAAACATAGCCTCTCCTTTCTCAATCCTTCTTCCGTCCATCGACGGCCACCACGGGCGACCGCCTCCCAGTAATTGGCATGCTTTATCAGTAGTTCAGTACTACTTCTTCCGTTTCACAATGTAAATCATTTTAGTATTTTTCACATTTACATTTATGTTAATGAATCCATATATATATATATATATATATATATATATATATATATATATATATATATATATATATATATATATATATATATATATTCATTAACATCAATATGTATATATTGAACTACTATTTGGCGCTACTTATTAGATGGCGCCCAACACACACAACCTCCACCCTGTTCCACCCCCACGTAATTAACTTTTAACTCAGCGACCCACCACCCCGCCCACCCTCACGCGATCTCAATCTGGTGCAAGCTACACAATTAAGTGTTAACTCAACCACCCAGCCTCACGTGCAAGTTAAATTTTAACTCAGCGACCCACAACCCAACCTGCCTCACGTGCACTTGATCTGGTGCATACTCGATCTTGTGATCCAACGGTGTTTACACATTGCGTTATTTTTTAACTCGACGTAGACTTAATCTGGTATATATATTATGGATTCACATCATAGAAATCGTCTACAAAATGCGCACGGATCCGGCGCGTCCACGGATACAGCGCCCCCTTTCTCCCGCATGGATCCTGCACGAGCATTTTTTTTATTTCTTGCAAGAATTATGTGCAATCTGTGATTATCTATATCCACGCGTGATCATGGCATGGTAGCGACCAGAAAGCTTGTTCGTTTGGTTGCTTGCCTTCTTTATCGGCAAAATTTGCTATAGGACATCCAAAAAACGTGTAATTAGTTAGAAGACACTGTAAAATATGTGTTTATATTGTAGGGCACCGTAAAAAACTGATAATTGATTGCTGGACACCCGCGAGATTATTTTATTATATTTGGAAAAATTAGAGAGAGAAATAGCTGTGTAAGTACGGTTCTACCCTTTGATTTTTTTTTTCATTTTCTTTCTTCTTCCTTATCCTTTTCTCTCTTTCTCAGCCTCACCCGCCGCTTCGCCCGTCATCGGCGATCGCAGCACTCGCCCGCCGCCGCCGCTCCACCAGTCCACCCACAGCGCGAGCAGCGTGCTCAGCATGTACACCAGTAGCCTCCCCGCCAGCCGTGGCGCCGACCGATAGTCCACCCCGCCGTCCCGCATCAGCCCTAACAAGAACCCCTCGTCGTGCGGCACCCTCCTTGTGTAGCACAGCCACCTCGCCGCCGAGGCGCTTCTGCGGGACTCGCCCGTGCCGGCGTCGGTGTCCTCGCCGCCCCCCCCCCCCCCCCACATCGTCCGTGGCCCTGTGGAAGTAGATGCGGCGGGAGTCCTCCTCGAACGCGACGGCGGTGACGTCGCCCGCGCGGAGGCCAGTCAAGAGGTCCGAGTAGGCCACCTCCTTGGCTGCATTCTTGGGCAGCGCGAGGCGGACAGCGAGGAGGAGGAACGCCAGGACGATGGGCGCCACCCACCGCCCTTCCCAGTAGTCACATCTAGCCTCCTCCCCTCCTCCTGCCATTGATGGATGCTTACCTAATTTGCCGGAAGTGACGACGGACCGGAGCGCGGCGTTCCACAGCGCGTCGACAGGGTAAAACCAGAGGAGGTTGAAGAGAAACAAGGTGAGCACGGCGCAGACGAGCCAAGCGGAGACGACTCTATTGAGGAAGCTGCAAAGGTTGCTGGTGGTGGTGGTGGTGGTGGTCGCCGGAGTTGGACACGACAGCCGGGTGGCGCCGTGGCCCGTGACGCGGTGGCTCGCGCGTGGCCATAGCTAGCGCGTACGACGAGGACGACGAGGTCGTACGACGTCGAACAGGTGAGAGTGGTGACTTCAGATAGTTTGTACATGTAGAGAGGAGATGGATGGAGTGTAACTTGGAAAGCACAGCATTATTGCTTAATCGAACATAAAGGGGATTAACATCTGGAGTAGAGAGGAAGTGATTAATCTGGCTAATTGAAGTATAGTAAATATTTCGAGTGGCCAAAGTGTCCCTAATGTTTGTGTCAAATCTAATCCACTGACGTTCAAAGTTTGTAGCATTTACATTGTTGACCAAGGGTAAAATTGTCTTTAATGAGTATTTTTTTTCTCCAATTCCTTCGGAAATAATAAAATAAAGCAACGAGTGTCTGGTAGCTAATTACCAGTTTTTTTTGTGTCCAACAGCAAATTCGCGTTCTTACGATGTCTATTAGCTAATTACATGTTTTTAGTGTCCAGTCGCAAATTTTGCCTTTGTTTATTGCAGGCTACCTGTTCAACCGAATGCAGCAGGGAGACAACTCTCAGCTTGATCGTGTTTGCAACTATGCACCAACAGTGTCTCCAGTGGGCTGAGTTCTGCACTATCCACCTGTATATGTATTGGTCAAGAAAGTGAGCACAGATGTATGTATTCAGTTCTGAAATGATTACTTGTTAATAGTTATTATCAGTCTGCCGTAGTTTTGATTCTTTCTTCTTGAGAGAGCTATATTATGCTTGTAAGATTGTGGCAAGCTTGGATTCTTTATTCTACTTGCGCATTACTACTTACTTTACATACCATCTGAATTCTGTTGTACCACCTTTCTAAGTAGGATCATTTTCACTCTCATCTAGAATGCACGCACGTTAATGTTTAGTTTGATCACCATCTTTATCCCATATATGTGATGCTGTGCAAAAACTGAACAAGGGATAGACGGGTGGGAGGCGAGGAGATGGCGGATCCGGCCGCCGCTCCGCACCCCACGTGCGCGGATCCAGCTGCGCTGGGGTGTGTCCGATGTGGATGCGGGCGGCATGACGGCGGATCCAGCGTGGTTCTTGCACGGGTAATGGCGGACACGACTGTGACGAGCGACTGCGGGCGGGAGGCGAGGCGGCGGCGGATCCGGCCACCACTCTGCCCCACGCACACGGCGCGACCTCCGCGGCGGCGAGCCTAGACTCCGATGGATATGGAGGAGCAGCAGCGGCCACCTCCATGACGCGCCACTGTCAATGTCCGGAGCAAGCGCCAATAAAAATTTAACTTATTCTTATAGATTGTGAGGATGTATATGTTCAGTCAAAATTTTCTTGTCATACCAAGTTAATTTTTTACTCTGTAAGGATACCAAGCATATGATGTATATGGAAAGGGGTTTCTAATGAATACATAGCGCCGGCTTTATTAAGAGGAATTATCGCACGAAAAAAGCCCCTTTTTCGACACCTCATCTAACCTTTTTTTCAATTAACGCCGAATCAATCCCTTACCATCGAAATCCGTGCAAATTATCGAGCGATTAGGATGCCACGTGGCACAGCGTGATTCGTGCGTGTGCTCCCACACTTGAGAAGGACTAAAATATAAAAAACAATCTTACGTTGGAGTAAAATGAAAAAGTGTAAAGCCACCTGATGTTTCCGGAAGGGTCACGACTCTTGGTCTTCTATAATCTTGATGATTCAACTCTTCATCTTCTCTGTATATCCATTCATTCTCCATCGTTCCTCTTTTCTCTTGTCATTGTTTCACGTTCGTTTATGTCGTTTTCATTGTTCACATCCACCAGCAGTCCGGCACCAAACATCACCATCCACATCCACCGGCAATACGTCTGATCCACCAGGAGAAAGAGGTAGCGACCTCCGGCCGGTACCTCTGCGGCAAGCATGTCCTGCACAGCGACGACACCACGAGGAGGAGGCGGTGGCCTTCAGCCGGTATCTCTGCGGCGAGCACGTCCTGCACCGCGAGGACGACGTCCGCGAGCTCAGTGAATGGCAATCACATGTATTAGTGATATAAATATTTCAGATTTTTCATTCTTAAAAAAAAACAGCTAGATCTGTTACTTCACTGATATATATTAGACTATTTGTTATAGTACTAAACAATGTAGTTGGATATACAGTAAATATTGTAATTCTGAGGGGTTTTGTGTTGCCAAGAAATTATCCTAAAAAAGCTTCAGTGATTTATCATTTCTTAACAATATATCTCTTGGTTAATATATGTATTCCTGGGAAAGAAAGAGGGGGAGATTATTAATAGCTGGTGCTGCACCAATACTGATGTAGGGAGATAAAGCTGTCCACAAACTGATAGAGAGATACAAACACCTTAATGTGGTTCTGCGGCTCCATCGTTGCACATTTCAAAGGTTGTTTGCTCAAGATCAGAAAGACGGAAACTCAAAAGTGAATCGTGATTCTGGTGCTACCTGTCTAGTTGAAATATATGGTGCGTGTAAATAAGCATTTTATCAAATAGGGGAAAACATTGTTCGGGGAATTTACCTCAGAATAGATTAACCCGGTTCAGCTGTTTGGGGAGCAAACAACCTGAGCGCCACTGATCGTGCTCAAGCGAGGAAGCAAAGAACACAAACGCTCATGGTATCCACCTCCATCCAAGCAACCAGAGTCGACCCAATACGTAGGCGGCTGAGTTAAAGCTCTTGATTTGCTTCTTGGAAGACTGGGGGAAACAGTTTTGAGCAAAGGAGGCGAACCAGATGATTGGCTTCCGTCCAGCTCCAGGAGTCCATGCGGTGGTCGACAGTTAAAAGCTGGGAGGCGGTTTGAATGTTGTGGAAGTTTTGACAGCCATGAAGTCTGCTCTTTATGGGCATCGACGGTTCCGTTCCTCCTGACACGCCGAGGAGGCAAACAGGCTGCAAGGCGCGCTCGGCTCAGCGTGGGAGGGGGAGAGATGGGCGTCGTAGGCCCCGGTGCGACGTGCAGCGCCGTGGGTGGGAGGAGGCAATGCGGTTGCTGCGGTGTGCGGATGAAGGAAACAGTGAAGAACTCACTGCTGGATTAATACCGGCTGGCCCATGGTTCACCTTACCAAGGGAGTCATGAGGGAGATTAAATGGGTGACGATTGGCAAGGCTATGGGCTTGGGCCAACAGAAAGAAGGATTTATAAGAGGCGCATGAGTGGGATGGGATGGCCCATTATTGCTGAACCATTGATCTGGAGACCTACAGAGAATCCAACGGCTGATATAATGTTGATGACATGGCGAATTAAGGAGGCAGCTTTGGATCTTAACTTTATAGAAAGAAGGGATACGATCAAGAAACGAGAGGCTGTTCACTTCATTACCACTATCAATGCTACCAAAAATTTTGATAAGGTAACTAACTTAACTCCGATTTGTCACTCTTATATTCTGAATAGGAATCCGCAAGCATGTACAAACAACCATCCTTTGAAAAACTGAACCTCCTTTCTTACCTTACTGTCTTTTTACCTAACGAGAAAACAGATGATATGCCACTCGCTAGGTTGGGTTCGGATAAAATGCCACTTAATATGTTGCCTACTGAATGAAATGCCACTTTGGAGGTTTTTGTGCCCAAAATATCCCTAGAGAGAGAGGGAGAGGGAGCGCCAGGAGGGCCCGCCGGCGGCACCGAAGGCCTCGACGGGCGGCAGCGGCAGCGGCCGACAGGAACGACAGGGTTCATACTCGCTCGCCGAGCTTTTCTTATCTTGGGTGCAAAACATGTTCTCACCATCTCTCTACCCTGACGGAACATGGAAGTTCCATTAAAAAAACAAAACCTAGAAGTTTCCTCTAACAAAAACACCACCAAATTAATTATAGAGAGGTTTCAAACTAATCCTATCTACTAATGCTTCCAACAATTTATAACACAAAAAAAAAGGTGAATAACCTAAGTGGTCCTCCAAGTTTCATGCAAGGATCAGTTTAATCCTTAATATTTCAATCTGTCCATATTAGTCCTTCGAGTTTTTATTTTCATTTAAACTTATCCTTGAACCCACATAACTAACAAATCTCTTGATAAATAACACTTATACCCCCTCCCCTCCCCCCTCTCCATTCATCACATATATAAGAGAAAAAATTGCATGCAATGAATTCTTTTTATAGATAATGCATAGCAATTCATGTAAAACAAAAATAAATTATGTACTTGCAAGTGTATACGATAGCTATTAGGCTCAAGTTTCATCTGCGCATGTTGAAATAATGGGAAGTACATATACAATGTTATTTATTCATTTTGGTTTTCTTTTTTCTAGTGTATAGTTATATATAAATTAAGGGCAAAAGGGACAATTTTTTTAACAGAATTGTTGACTAGAAATAGCCATATGGCATATTAAGTGGGCCCAAGGATGATTTTAGACCAAAACAAATACTCAGAGGATCTATGTGGACAAAATAAAACCTAAAGCCCGGCACTCCATTTTCCATGTTGGAGGATAGTTGTCCACATAGATTAATTAACCACGTGCTAATGAACTACTCTATTTTCCATGTTGGAGGGTAGTGTTCCCATCCATGAGGAAAGAACACAGCCCGGCCCTCGATTTTGTCAGTATAAAAATTGCACTGTGATTAATACACAGGTTGCATCCTGGAGCTGCAGACCTCTGAAGCTGCGGGCCACTGAACTGATCAAGTGCAGCATAGCTCAGCAAATTGCAAAAGAAAATAAATGAAATGTGAATGGCTCTGAGTAAAAAGGAGGCTGGCACGAGAAGATTTGCGATATCAGATGTCAGGCAGGGATGAACTGCCTTGATTCTTGAATCTTGGTAGAGGACAAAGCTGCAATAAGTGACTGAATTGGTTGCATTCATTTTAACTGAAGAATGTGCAGTCCTAGATCAACCCAGTGAACATGTGGGACTTGCAGCCAGCCAAATGATCTAATTTTCTAGCCTCTGATGGTTTGGTGGTACGTACAGTGCGTGAGAGCATCAAAGGAAGAGGGGAATTGGTTCATTCTCTCATGAGCAGTCAAGTTCAGAGATCGCCAGCCTCCGCTTTAGGGACTCGTTCTCCTTCCGGAACTTCATCACCTTCTGCTTCAGTGTCTCCACGTGCTGGACCGAGATGGAATCCCTTTGCTGCTCTGCCTGCTTCATCTTCATGATCCTCACTGCACCATGACAAAACAATCCTGTTAAGGGTTAACCAACTAGGGGAAAGGAGCAAAAACGTGTCGTCGAATAACTGAAATTTGTTAGCTCCAGTTCTGTTCTTCAAATCCATGTTCTTCACGGTGAAGCATTATGTTTCATTCTTCTGTTTCAATTGACACAGGAAATATGGGTGGTTTGGGAGAACAAGATTTGTGTGTTTCAACAGAACAGTACAGGTTGAACTTACATTCATTTTCAGTATTCTGAAGCTTCCTATGCATGTCATTTTTCTCCTCCTGTTCAACAATGACTACATCCTTCAGATCCTGGATCTCGTTTTTATCTATAGTAGGAGCCAGGAAATATGTGCATCATAAGAGCTAGAGAGCGTATTCCAAAGGAATTTAATCTTTCACATGGAAAGGATTTAGAGCATTACACTGCTGGTGCACATCAGCAGTAACCTGCTCCAACCTGCTATTTAGCATGTCAATGTGAGCTTTATGAGCTTCCAGTTCCAGATTGAGTTGCTTTATCACAGCTTCATTGGTTGCTTGCTGAACAACAGCGCAGCTGTTTACAGCAGATGTTAGATTTATTAATTGCATATAGAAATTATGCAATTAGCTGCCCTCCTTGAAAGGAAACTTTACCTGAGCTTGTTCTCCAGGTCATTGCTGTTCATTTCACTGCCAAGCTTAAGTTGTTCGATTTCCCTCTTATACTCCTACATGAAATGAACACTAATTATACACTATATGTTCTATGGATTGACTGGAAACACTAATTATACACTATATTTTCCTCTTAACCTCTTCCATGGATAGCAATCTCGTGTTTGCCTTTTCCAGTTCTTCCTTCAGATTACGAGACTCTGTGTGAAATTTCATCTGAAGAATATCAAGCACATCAGAAATTCAGAACTAATCCAGTGCTTCACAGACATGAATGTGCTACATATAACCATTTCAATAGCTGTCCTGTTAACAATCTAACAGCCAGTTTCCAGACTCCAAGTAGAAAAATAAAAAACTAGACTAAGTTGCACAATTTGAGATTTAATGTAGTATTGAAAGCACCAGACAATCAACAGCACAGGTGAAATGGTGTCGATAGGTGAGTTCATCTATACCAACCAGTTAACACTCAAATAAAAAACGAAATTTGGAGGGAGAGACGTCCCTCCAAACATTTTCTAAGAAGAAATTGTGAGCATTTTGGGAATTAAACACGGGATCTTAGGGTTGAAACCACACACCCCTTGCCACTGCATTATCAAGTGCATCTCAGTTAATACTGAAATAGATCAACTAAGTTTGCTGCACATTATTGTAGCAGTACAGTTCCATCCTCCTTACGATTGCACAGAGTAAATAGCACCAGACCTGATTGGTGAACTTGAACAAAGTTTCAGTATACAGCCTTCTCAATCGCTCATTATCTGCACAGCACAAAACATTTATTAACTCACTCATTGTTTCAACCTTAACAAGCAACACAAATCATCAGCTACCACACAGTATTCACATTAACATAAAAGGCAACACAAACTGAAGCTTAAGCTTGTAAAACAGCTCTCAAATATCAGCTAACCACTCTTGAGATCTGCAACGTGCGACTCGAGAGCCTGACGCCTCTCGGATTCAGAGCTGCAGTTCACCCTTAAAGCCTGGGCCTCCACAAGTGCATCCTTGTACCCCTGTTCGAAACAACAGAACAGCGATAGAAGATCAAAGTGTATCATCGGAATTTGGAAATGCTAGGGTGTTAGATCATGTTCCTTGAAACGGAATAGCATTCGAGCCCTGGAAGCAGAGATCACGCGGTACTAATCTCCTACCCGAACTTGAGCTGGTGGGTTAAATGCATTTGAGCTGAAGGAATTGGCATGATATGGCATCGAAACTGGAAGCAGCTACCGGCATTCGTGATCAGCACTTCGCTCGATGAACCCTAATCCTAAAACCCAAAAACGAGACGGCGGGAGGACACACAGAGCGAGTTCGAACCGCCGAGCTCGCGACACGCCGGAGAGAATGGGTGGGGACCTGGGAGAAGCGGTGGAAGTTTCGCAGCAGCGACTCCAACTCCTCGTCCCCCGCCGCCGTCGCCGCCGCGGCCATGGCCGTCGTCGCGCTGGTCTCGTCTCGCACGCGTGGTGGGGATGGAAGACAAGAGGAAGAGGAGGCCTGATGCAATACAAATCATCGCGAGGGCTCTTTTGCAAATCTGCGCCACACGTGTCACGTTCTGGGCCGTCAAACCTTGATCCAACGGCCTTCGCATCACGCTACAAGCGCAGAGAAACTAACTGCGAAGCCCAGCATCGGTTGCAATGTTTGCACTTAGCAGTGTTTACGTTTTCGACAAATAACAATCCAAAAACGGAAAACCACGAAATTTTGAGGGTTCGACGCGGGACGAGAGTAGATTCGTGTCAAATGGTTCTCGATAATTTAAATTTAAAACGATAAAATTCAACCAAAAGTTATTTGGATCGAAATTTGTCGGCTCAATCGAAAAGTTGAACCCTAAGTAGGAGAAAGAAACGAGACAAAATCAGACAATGCACTGATGCTGCGATTGTGAAATTAACCTGCCTGCTTGCCCAGTGTCACCTGTAAATCAACGATTACATCTGACAAGAGAGTAAAATGCAAAATATGTCACATGCGCTCAAGCTGAACTCGTCCATTTATCTACTGCCAAAGGCAAAGCTATAAAACTCAAATACAAGCATAGAAAAAGCCGGCCACAAGCATATATCATCTCGGAGAGACCGGCATTGCAGAACCACATGAATCCTAGAGCCGGTCATATCATACATCCGGTTAACTTGTTGAGCACCATGACTACTTGATTGTTGATTGATACGCATCCTCCTCCTTTTTCTCAAGTCTGAACCCTCAAGCATCACGCGACTCCCGACTGCGATTCATGGCCATTTGCAGCAGAAACTGCCTCCTCGACTGCAGAATTGTGCTGCTCGACACCTGTTGCCTCGACGATTCCGTTCTGCTGAAAAACACGGGTAATTCACATTTTGAGTAAGACTACTGACCCAGTTTAAAATTCACTGCTCTAGAACAGTTATTTTTTCTAGAAACTGCAATACATGATTGTTTCGTGCTCACAAGTCACAAATCCTCATCCTATAAAGAAAGAACAAGTGCACCCTAAGGATGCATTTCATCAGTCCATATGTCTTACACTCTAATGCCAATTTCATCAGGCCCAAACAATGGTTTTACACAACGCTAAATTTGAGTTAGAAAAGGATGAGGGGTAAATCTATAAATAAAATTTGCAATCTAAAATTCTGAATGAATGAAGTGCAAACATAGTGACTTACAACATCATTGGTTGCAGCTGGCACAATTTGCAAGGGCACAGGGGGACCTTTTGTTACCTCTCTCATCGTACCCTACGAAATACGAACAAATTGGAGCAGAATATTGTCAATAACACCAAGACTGACCCTAAAAACGCTAAATGCAACTTGTCTGCAAGCTAAGAACTTAAAACCAACACTGAACCACTGGGGTAATGGAGGTTTTGGGTGGGGACGTTACAATTTCCATGACTGTTTACTGGTGTTCCAACTTTCACGATGGGACCATACATGTGAACTGTGATTTGGGATGCATTGGACACTCAACAGATCACACAAAAGATCCACCCTGAGAGCTACAACAATCAAGCTAGAACAGTATAACTTTTACCACCAAACTTAGCATATGGTAAAAGGGGAAATTTTACAGTACCTGGGCTCTAGAAAGGCAAAAATTGTTCATTATATTAATATTGAAGGAGACACCCTCGATGCAACAAAGGTTATGCAAACAACATACAGCCTATTCTAGAAGTTGCAATTAGCACCAATGTATAGAAAGATACTGGTGCAGTGCAATAAAGATTGGAAGTACCTTGTTTGCCCACATAAGTCCACATGCATTGCACAATGTTCTTGGGCCATCAGGACCACGGCGCATCATAGGTGTTGACGCTGCACTAATACCACAATGATGGCACCTGAAAGAATTGTGCATGGAAAGTAACTCTCACAACAAGAACTAAGTTTCAAATTCTGAAGCAAAAGAAGCTAGAAAATATAAGGCAAATATACAAGCAACAGGTGCAAGAGGCAAGAGGCATCTATTATCATGTGGGTGGCAAACAATTGATCAAGACCAACTATCATTTTTTAGTTATCAACAGCCAAATAGCAAAAACCTGTCTGAAATGGAAGAGCTAGATCTGGTAAGCAGTGAATGATGCAAGTCAGACAATTCTCATTTCGAAATTTTTAATTTTATGCTGCATGACCTTCTACAGTACGAAAGTGCAGTGTCACATTCGCCACATGGCAAACACCTTGAATAGTCAAGATTTAGAATCACGTGCTTCTACCTTGCCTGGTACAGAAATTGATGCTACATTTTTTTTATCAGGAACTAGAAAGATGTATACATTGATCCATTTTCCGCTGGAGGTTTCCCATGCATTTTGATTTATTTTTTGCACCCAACTACAATTGAAATATATGCAGGATAGTTGTGCTGTAAATTTTCAAATATCAAACTGAGTTAAAGGCTTGATTCAAGGCTTCACAGTTCTCACTACCCAGAAGTGTTCAATTAAAAAATGGCTAGCTAGCTAGCTCCAGCGACGTGCGTGCATGCTGCATGGCACATGGTGGAGGTTGGGTTGGTGACTGAGAGAAAACGACAAAGTCTCTGTATGATAGCCCAATGTCCCTGTGGACAGTGCGAGCATGAGATAATGCATCCTTACTAGGTCAAAGATATACCTAGCAGTGCACCCATGTGTTGCAATGGAAACTGATTTTCTTATAATTGGAGCATATTGAATATATTTCCCAATTATGGATGAATTTTCGAAACAACACAATTCAGTTGCCCAGGTGGGAAATCAGGATCCATGAATGGCACACTTATTTACTACATAAAGAAATGGCCATCCCTCATATAAATATGGTTGTAATGATTTTCATGCATTTATATAATACTAATGGGAAGTATGAACATATAAAGATATAATAAGTACAATAGTTTGAATACATACTCAGCAGCTGATGGAGGTCGACCTTCAACTGCGCCCCAATTTGGCGAACCTTCCGAACTAGTTATGACGGATGTTGCTTCTTCAGCCTTCGATTTTGATGATGTAAACTGGCCTCTATTACGCTGCATCCTGTAAATGTATAGAAAATAATTACTACTATCTCATAAAACTTAAAAAGGAAAATTCACATTGCCAAATATACAAAATCAAATGCAATAACAAGTTCATCCACCATAAGAAAACTTCATAATATTAAACAGAGAAAATGGATTATATTAATAAGCTAACACTAAATACACAACATAACAAATACTCTAGAATATAGACAGGGAAAAGAAGGCTATATTAAAAGGCTAGTCTAACTAACCTAAGTGCAACTTCCTTCCTAACAGTATACCGGATCTTCTTATCAAAGTTTCTCTCTTTTCTCTTTTCCCGGAACCTCATCAATGATGCCATCCGGTGAGGAAAATTCATCTTCTGCATAAGAGAGTACACACAGTCACATAAGCACCATTACAATTTAAAATAGTCTCAACTGGCAATCACCATAATTCGCCCAGCGATGACTTCACCTTACTGTATGCCGCTGAAGATGATGGTACCGAACCCGACCCTGGTGCTAGCTCTCTTCCTCCAAGCAGTAACAGCACAGCTTGCACCTGCCAACACAAGTAATTCAAACTCATCACCGATTCACCGAGCAATTCAGGTGCGCAAAACACACACAAAAAAAAACTGAAATCATGGATGAGCGGCGCAGGCACAGCACCCTCTCGGCGGAAACGGACTCGAAGACGTAGACCTCGCCCTGGAACGACAGCGTGAGGGTGTTCGACGCCACGTGCGGGTAGCCGCCGCCCGCCTCCCCGCCGGCCACGGGCACCATCTCCCCGTGCGGGTCCATCCCCGCCACGGCCGCGGCGGAGGCGTCGGCGTCCATGGGGACCCCCTCCCCGCCCTCGTACTCCTCCTCCTCCCCCTCCTCCCCCTCCTCGTACTCCTGCTCCTGCTCGTACCGCTCCATAGCCTCCACCTCCGCCTCCGCCTCCGCCTCGTCCGCCGCAGCGGCGGGGGCGGCCTCCTCGTCGGCGGGAGCCGGGCCGCGGCGGGGCTGGTAGGGCTTAGCTTCGTGGTGGCCGCTCATGGCGGGGGATCGGATCGGACGATGGGGATGGAGGCGAGACCAAACCCTAGGGCTTCGATCCGTAGGAGTCTCGGGTGTATAGCCGCGGGCGGTTTTTTTTTTTGTTTTCTTTTCTTTTCTTTTCTTTTTTTCGGAAAATGCTCGGTTTCTTTCCGCGGGGAGCGCGTCGTGAGGATTTTTTCGCGGGCGAATCGTGGCCGTCCGTGCCGCTTCCAGCTAAGTCATCACGTGTCAGTTCAGAGTGTTTGACACGCTACAATATGGATAGAGTGTGAAATGTTTTTTTTCTTTTTTTTGTTTTTACTTTCTTCATTTGCAACTGTATGAGTTTATTAGATTATTATCTGGTTCTTTTTAATTTAGGCCCTGTTTTGTTCCCAAATTTTTTTTCTCAAAAACATCACATCGAATCTTTGGACACATGTATAGAGTATTAAATATAGATAAATTTAAAAACTAATTGCGCAGGTAGGGAGAAAATCACGAGACGAATTTTTTTTAGCCTAATTAGTCCATGATTAGCCATAAGTGCTACAGTAACCCACATGTGCTAATGACAGATTAATTAGGCTCAAAAGATTCATCTCGCAGTTTCCAGACAAATTATGAAATTAGTTTTTTCATTCGTGTTCAAAAACCCCTTCCGACATCCGGTCAAACGTCCGATGTAACACCCAAAAATTTCCTTTTCGCGAACTAAACAGACCCTTACTCTTCTTATAGTAAATTTCATAGAACTTAGATGTTGTGATTAAAGTTACATAAAATCGTATTAGTTTAGGTATGTTTGCACATAGCCATGGTAATACGCTATTATGGTCCTTAACTTTCGTAAAACCACGACGTTAACTAGTCTATTTAATAATACTATAGAAAAATAAAAAAAAAGATTCAGCATTCATGACTACAACATTTTAATGATAAATTAAAATAACTACTTCCTCCGTTTCATATTATAATAAGACATAGGGAGTAGTATATTTCAACATAATTTTAGGTCCAGCGGGCGAAACCATGTGGTTTTGTATAATTTAGATTTTTTTTTACACCTATGGTTTTATGGAATTTATCTCGATTAGAAAAAGATACATGTACAAAAAATTATTGCGAAATTTTGCATTACTCATCTAAAGCTAAAACGCATTGAGCTAAGTTTTTTTCTTTTATTCATCGAATGAACTGTTTGAGTGCCAAAAGTTGTTTCTTCTTTGTTCGTTTGCTGCTCTATTACTGGCAACTAATGAATTATTGCAATGACAACCGGTACAATTTGTTCTGTGGGGGACGATCAGGTTTCATTGGTTTTATACAGCTCCATTTAAAGTTTAAACTGTTGTCAAGTTTCAAGGAAATTGAACAGTTCGAAAACACTGTCTTGAACTCAACGTTTTTTTTTTCACGAACGCGTCTTGAACTCGACATGTCATAAACCTGAGCAACATCTATAAAATAGACTTGCATAATCTCAATTGTCAAACCATTTTTGGATATTACATTTTGTTAGCTGCATGTACTTCGTTTCCTATCAAACCCAGCACTAGAAGTGAATTGACTGTACAGAAGCTAATAACATTTGACTCTATCCTTAGTCTTCAGGCCTTTTAGGCCCTTGTAACACAAGAGTGAAATGGAATTCCCTTATTCCATCTGGCACACCACAAAGTCAAAAATTACATGAGTATATACAAATATTTTACAGGATTCAGGCGCTTGATAGTTTCCATCCATGAATTCATCATTCAGATTTGAAGGAAGTCTAAAATTTGGCATGCCATCTTGATTTGCCTAATATCCTCCTAATCGCTTCCTTGGCTTCTTCAAGTGTTTCTACGCTGTAATGCAGCTCAAAGGCTATCCTCTGGATGTTGAACTGCAAAATCCCACAACAAAAGCATGAGGAATATATGGCATCAATGACAGTATAACAGACACGATAAGAACCGCCTACTGCTTATGAAAACAAACATTACAGTGCGAATCTATGTAAAGTGCACCAGATCTATGCAGTTCAGATCATTATAACAATAAAATGAAGTAGCCTATCCAGAAACTAATAGTAAGTAGTGTTCCCAAATATTTTACCTGTGCACCTTGTCGAACTCGTATATCAATACCTTTGCTATCAATTGATATAAGAGCTGCATCATCTACCTCTATTTCGGTTGATAAAAGCTCTTTCAAAGGCTTTGAGTACATTGCATTAAGTTCCTGATGAAAAGAATAAACGATGCAATGAATTACTTCTGCAAAGAGCCCAAGAGAAATCGAAGACTTTCAAATAGTCTAAAGGCTGAATACGCAAACCATACATGTTTCCCCAAAAAAAGAGAAAAAAACTCCCCAGGTTATTCTTGAGCAAAGAATCATAGCCTTACCTTTAAACTTTGCTCCCCACCATCAGTCGCAATCTTATCAGGTTTGAGAGCCTCGTATTCTTTCACATCTAACCAAGCAACAGTGCCAAAACCTCCAATGAAATATATGTCACTGGAATGTTCACAATTCACAAACATTATGAAAACCACAGAAGAAGATCGATAGCATGTTATGAAAGGGTGTGTCAATCAATAGATACCACAAACAATTGTAAGCTACTAAACTTTGTGAAATCCCACATGCTAAATAAAGAGCCACAATTAAATATTGAGAGAAGTAGTTATCCATGTAGCAACTCCAAAAACTACCTTATTGTCTGCATTTTGTAATAGTAAAAGTTGCCCCACTGATGGGATGCCCACTGTTGGTGCTTCAAAACATACTGTTGATGAGCCCATTCCTGAAAAAAAATAACTTTCAAGTCACTATTTCCGTTGACAAAATCAACCAAGACCTGAAGAAAAGAAAAATAATGGCAGAGATAATCACATGTAAATAGTTTTTGCTTGTCTTCCATTTCAGACTCTGTTGGCCATGTTAGTTATTTGTATCATATAACTCACATTCTTGGAGATTAAAAACCTCAGGTACAACCCATAGCTCATGTCTGGGTGTTTTTTTTTTTTGGTCTTTTTAACTTTTTTAATTGGAATGGTGGTCAGTGAAACGGTTCCAGAGAGTACATGTCAGCTAGGATAAAACGTAAGAGCTACCCAGTGGTCCAGCTCAATTTGGAGAGTCAAGAAAGGTAGATACCAGGTAATGAGGTAAACTGGAATAGTGAAAAAAAAGCCATACTTCAGACTTCAGTACAAGTCAATTTACCAAGGCCTTGTTTAGTTCTAAATTTTTTCTTCAAACTTCCAACTTTTCCATCACATCAAAAATTTCCTACTCACATAAACTTCCAACTTTTCCATCACATCGTTCCAATTTCAACTAAACTTCCAATTTTGGCGTGAACTAAACACACCCCAAATAGAGTAACGTAGCCAACAATGATATCAAGGCATCATAAGGAATTAATGAGCAGGTAGCAGTTTTGGTACAAACCTGCAGGTCAGCAGGCAAGGGAACAACATCACCAAAAATTGTTACACGTGCATTTGACAGTCCACTCCATCCAGGCACCTGAAGAAAGAAAGATGAGAAGCTTTAGCAAAAAAAATAACCTGGATATGATTATGAAATACATCAAAATTACCTGTACAACGACTGTGCACCTCGGATCTTCCAGAAGATTCCTTGTGTGGATGGCTAAAGGGGACAGTGAAAAAATGGGGTCTGCATAAAGAAATTGGGGGAAAACAATCCTCATAAGGGGCGGTATCCAAAAAGTTGTATACAACAAAAAAGGATGATTGAGAACTTACGTCCCATTGGATCAGGTGCAAAATCCACTAGAGAACCAAACGGGTATCCTGCACGTCGATGATGCATCCGAGACATGACAGTACACAGATGAGCAAACCGTGCCTGGTTTTGTACAAGTGGTGAATCTATCAAGTTTTTTTTTTTTTGGCTCGGTATGATAAACCCAAGTTCCCAAACATTTTGCATGAATCACGATTACTAGCTACTGATAGATCGTATTTAAGAGTCCACAGTATTTGGATCAGATACCTGCTCCATCAGATTGCGAACAGCTCGAGCCGGTGGGGGTAAATCATGAACAGAAGTCGCAGTGTGTACGCCCCCTGAAATTGGTGTTCTGAATAGGCCGGCTCTAGATCCACCAGAGTTGCTCCCACCACTCTCACCATGTTTACTTGTTTGCGTATGATGGCTATCACTCTTGCAATATATTATAAAAAGGAGGAAAACAATCATCTATCGTGGAATCTTGAATACCTCACAGACATTAAATAACTAATCAATCTTCCTTCTTAGCCTTGCAATTTTCTAAGTTCTTCCTTATAACAAGCAAAATCTGTATCAAACTATCAGTTACTCTCCTGTTAATTAAAATAAAATAGAAACATCCAGTTTCCCAGCTGATTAAATTAACTAAAATGTCACCAAACCCAGCCAATACATAGCCAGCTATCCATTGATTTCATTCATCCAAAAATATCTCGAGTCAGAGAGAGTGTGCCTACCTCGAGGAAGGGCAAGGCTTCCGCCTGGTCATCCGCATCACTGGAGGAGGCCGGAGAGCCCTCCTCCCCTCTTCGTCCTCCTTCGGCGGCGCTGGCGAGGAGCCGCGCGCATCGGCGGGGAGCGCGCGCCTGCTGCAGCTGCAAGCACGCGGCGGATTTGACGCTGGAGGAAGGGATCACCCAGGGCTTAGGGAAGGCCGCGGCGTCCGGAGGGGCTCTTCTGCGGGAGAGGGAGCGGGACGGGGATGGCGACGCTGCTCCGGCGATCGCCGGCGGCGATGTGACGGGGGATCGCACGAGTGGCTCCATGAGCGCGCGTGCCTATCTCGTACGGAGTGTCTCCGCTAGTGGGCGAACCCTACCCGCGGCCTAACACGCTGACTAGTGGGCCCCCACGGCCAACATTAGGCGTAACGGGGCCTCAAAGTCAGTGACTTCATGGGCCGGAACGGGAATGCAGCCTCCGTTCTACGTCGCCCATTACGCCGTAATAGTTTATTATGGATCAAATGTGAAGTGTTCTACTCGCTTTAATTCTAAAATATAACATCTCATTTTGGGATATTTTGGGACTACATGGACTAAACAACATATCAATGTTGGCTGAGCTGCACGATTAATATGTACAAATCAAACGAATATTTACTTTCCTATTCATATTTCTTCACTTTTTCCATTTATATTATGAATTAAAATTCCTTCAAACCGAACAAATCTGGCCTTCGGATCGATATACTCCGACATAATAATTCTTCTTGCAGTTTCACTTTCACAGAAGAAAAACTGAAAATGCCAAAGCTCCCCACAGGCCACATCACATTGTGGTAATAATGTTCTCAACGCAGTTTCAGAGAGGGAGAAAAAAACATGAAAGCTCCCCATGGCAGGTCAGTGTGGTAATAATAATAATGAAATAATTGCTGTGTTGCACATGTAAACAAAAATATTGGGTAGAGAGAGAGAATACAGGGAGCCAACTTTCAAAGTGGGGGAAAAGCTGTTACCATCCCAATACCCTAAAACTTTGAGAACTACTTGTCATTCTTCTGTAAAGCTGTTACGTATAATGTAGATTCTACTACCATTCAAAATTATGCCCTACATCTTTCTAAAAGCAAAGAATAGAGCAAACAAAAATGAGAGTATTTACAGAGGGGATCTTTGCCGCTGCTGCTGCTGCTTTCTTCAGTTCTCTATTCCAGCTGAGGCAGGACAAATGCATCTCGAAGACAACCTGAAGTTGATTCGCAGCTGCCAATACGAGTATCCTTGTAACGTATCCAAAAGAATCAACAACATTAGCGCGGACTACTTTCTTTGTGTAGCTTGCTATGGAGTATAGACATACTACTGTACAGTAGCTCACCAAAGGAGATCACTACAGCTGCAAAAATACCATTCAAAGAATTTAATTAGTATATTGCTGAGACGCAAACACGACTTCATCATGCAAATATCATGTAGTTACACCAAAAAGGGATGTGTCATGAGCTATGTGGATTGTGGAGACAGCATACAACAAATCAGTAGAAGTTTGATGCTAACTCATCGATATTCAGACCAAATATTAACGGTGGTCCAGAGCATTTATTAAAGAAAGCTTACCATTTAATCTTGCTCATATTTAACTCTTATATGTCAAACCTAAAATTATTTATCTTCACCAATGCCTGTATTGAACAAACTTGTACAAGATCTTGACTGGAAAGTGCATATCATGAGTGTTTGGGTTAGATCACGAGGTAGAGTTAAAGAAATAGATTGTGAATTTCTTTCGATTTAGTGTAAAGAACTATAAAAGGTACACACTGCTTAATTATATCTCTTCTGAACAGCAGGGCCTGCAGGTAGCCAGGTGGCATTAAGTGAAAGTTAAGTGCAAAGTTCAAACTCAAGCATAGATGCAATAAAATATGATTCACCGAGCACATTGTACAGATCACCACAGGTAAATAGCTGCAGAGCTATATCGCTCAAATTTTAATGACAGACAAAAAGCATCACTTACCTTTACATATAATCTTCAAATAAAACTAGCAAGCAATGCATGCAGCACAATCCAATATAGCAAAACGCCAAGTCTCAATGTTGGTTGTCTCATGAGCAATCTATCTCCTGAGACCCTGTTAAGAAAAAAGAAGGGGGAACCCTGAGAAAACACCTTTAATCAGTATTCGGTAAGAACTGAAATTGTACTCACCACATTCCATCAATCCTATCTGATATAGGTCGAGTGAACTTTGGAACAATGTGTGACATCGTCAGTGACTTGAAACCATGTGCTGAAATAACAAACAGGAGGTCAATCGGAGAATGAAGCGGACACTTCAATTTGAATTAAGTATACCAGGGACTAAATTTACCTTTATCATCATCTTCATCATCTAATGGCTTGTCCTTCACCTCTACATCAATAGCAACTTGGTCGGTATTGACTTTTCGTGCCCCTCGAATCTGAGTGACAACCGCAGCTGGGCTTACTTTTTCATTCTGCGTTGGAATCAAAGCATACAAGTCAGCAGGGTTAATATTAATTTGTTTCATACACTTTGTGCAGATAAACGACACATAAAAAAAGCTCACTCACCACTTGCTCAATCTCTGAAGTGCCTGGCAAGTTTATAAATCTGCTAGGTTGGCCTGATGTCCTGTCTCGACGAAGCAACCCTATCTGAGAATCTTTTTGGCTCAAAGAAGATTCAAGAGCCTCTGATTTACGCAGCAATTCTTCCATTCTGGTTCTCTCAGCCTGTAATAAAGAATCTTTACTTTGCAGGGTCACCCTTAATTCATCTGATTCAGATATCAGAGATCCTATTTTCTTCTCCAACATATCCATATATACAGGAACTTGAGTGCATTCATAATCATTCGTGCTATCACAGTGTACACTAAACTGCAATAGTGCAGTTTCCAACCATTTAGTAAAATCATTTATCTGAGATGAGTACTTCTTGTTGCTCTCTTCAGTTGTTAGCAGTTCATTGGTACTTCTCGTGATTTCTTGCCGCAGAAAAGAGATCTCTGAATCTCTCTCTTGCAGTTGTGACTGTAGGTTTTCCACTTCAGCAAGAAGGCTTTCAGACAAGCTATGCAACTCATCAAACTTGTCAACAGTTGTTGCAAGTTTTGTCAAGGCTTTGGTCCTAGAAACTTCAAGACTCTTTAAAGCGAATTCTTTTTCTTGAAGCATTTTCTCTAAGTCATTGCTTTTGTTCTCCAAGACCTCAAGCTCCCTTTCTTCTTCATCAAGTGCTTGCATCAAACCTTCAATCTCTGCACAATACATAAAAAAAATATCAATAAAAGCATAAATGAAAAAGGATAGTTCATGAAAACAATATCATGTTATTACAAACAAAACACAACTAACTGAAGCAAACCCAATTAAAGAAAACTGCATTGGCTCACCTTGGTCTTTTTTGCTAAGTTCATCACTCAAGTCCTTTATTCTTCCATGCTGATCATGTGCCACTGCCTCCATATCTTTAAGCTCGCTTACTTGAGTCTCTAAATTCTTCTTCTGATTAAGCAACATTTCAGAGTGTTTCTCTAAGTTGTGGATTTCCATTCTAGCATTTTCAAGCTCAACAGATAGCTGCTTCGCAGAAGATTCAGCTTCCTTTACCTGAGATGCAAGTTCTGCACTGATTGTACTTATTTGGATATGTTTTTCTTGAAGCTCCTGCTGCAATTCAAGAACAGTGGCCTTTAGTTCCTTTGTGTTGCCTTCGTTACTGTTCTGAGTAGTCTTTATGGCCGCAACTAATTGATTAACTACTGATTTTATATGGTCATCTGCAGATAAATGGTTCTGCACAACAGAACAACTATGGTCACCAGACTCAATACCAGTCATCCCTTCAATCTCAGAAACTGAACTAGTGCATGCTTCATAAAGCAAACTCAAATTTCTGCGCATTGACAAAATTTCCTCATCTCTCTGTTTGATCTCTGACTGTAATTCAATAATATTCTCTCTCAAAGATTCCAACTCAGTATTTTGAGAAGTAAATTTGTTCTGCAAGTTGGACATAACATTGAACAGATCGGCAGCTTTCCGGTCAACTGAAAAACCATGCTCGTGAATCCTACTTTTGAGATCATTGCAGTCATTTACACAATCAGCTACAGCATGGCATGCAGTAGCAAGATGATGCAAAATCTGGGTTTCATCGGCATTGTCCAACGTAATTTTCAGTGGAACATTTGGAATATGAGCCATCTGCGAGGAGCAAGTCTGACACATCAGAAAGCAATATTTGCAAACCCAAAAGAATAACTCTACCAAAATATCATGTAGTACGATGAATTATGAGTTGTCAAATACTACCAGAATTTCATGTACCACAAATAATTACATATAAAGCAGCAATAAAAAGATAATGGTCATCTGGGTTTCTAATTGTATTGAAAATCAACTCCAAGAAAACACATTGATTTCCCTTTTTTTGACAGCAACATATTGATTTTTTTCATGGTGAATCGAGTACAGTTAGAGTGATAAAGAAGTGTGAGTCTCATCTTTAAAAAAAAACACATTTCAGTTATCTAATTATGAAAAACTCACGAGAGTTAGCAGTAAATGCAAGAAAAAGGGACTTATTTTGATCGATATCATTTCCGACATTTCTGAACAGCATAATATTTTCTAAACCATAGGAAGTGTTGTGAGTTTATATATATGTCAATTTTTTTAAAAAAAAACTCATTGAAATTACCTTGCTGCTTATGCTATTTGACAAATGATGATTAGATGTGATGGGTATCTCCACCATACTCGTGCTGTCCATCCATTTATCAGAAGATTTCACAAAGCTCTCCATGTAGTTGATAATGTCCACATCCTTACTGAAAGTGTTGAGAAGATGATGTAAAAGTTCAGAGAAGATCTCTCTTAGTTGACTGCTGGTGGAGTTCAGCTCCATCAAATGATCTATCTGTTTCCTTTTTGTCTGTGACTGCATATGCATAATACGTTCAAGATGGCGAACGGCATCAGCTCTAGCAGACTCTACAACACTGTTCTGCTTAAATGATTCCGACAGTGCAGCTTCTGCTTTGACCAGTTCATCCTGCAGGTTGTCAGCTCTTTCATGAACTTCATTTAGCTCAGCCAGAAGCAGCTCTGTTGCTTGCTTCGATTTCTTCACTTCATTTTGTAGGTCAAGGCAAAATTTCGAAAAATTTTCAACCTTGGTGATTGGGTCAGTATCGAATTCTCTACCAATATCCACTGTACTCAGAGAATTTAATAATCTACTCAGATATTGGGTTGCATCATGCAAGCTCTTCTCATTCTCAGCTAATCGACCCATCAACGAAGATCTCTCAGATTCAAGTGATTCGATGTGTTGTTTCCTTTCAACTTTTAGTTTTTCTATCATAGTGTTCATCTCTTCCATAGTTTGCTTCAGGCTATCTCTATGTTGCACCAGGCCCTTCCCTTTTCTTACAGCAACATTTAGTTTCTCTCTCAATGAGGTGCATTTTTGCTCCTCCTGACCCAGTTTCTCTTGCAGATCATCACGCTGCTTAGTCATTGATTCTAGTTCAAGCATAAGAGATTGGTACCTATTCATCTGTTCGGCACCATCTCCCTGCAACTGGTCTATTTGAGCACGTAGAGTCTCCAGTTCGATTGTTAGTAATTGTGTCTTCTCCACAGCTTCATCACGTTGTTGCTCAACCAAGGCCAGACTATTGCGAGTGTGTTCTAACTCACCACTCAAAGTATTCAATGCCATCTCTTTTTCCTCCATACCCCTCTCTGATGTAGAGGCATCTTTAGATATTTTGGTTTCCGAGAGTGTTTCCATCTCCGCAGAACTGCGAACAGTTGATTCTGACAAATGAGTCTTATAGCCATCTATAAGTCTACTCAACAGACTACCCAAGCACAACACAGCAGCACCAACACCAGCACCCGATGGGATTTCAGTATTACTGTCATCCTGCAATGCATCTCGTACTAAATCCATAAGTTTTTTTATCTCCATTTCCATATCATGGTAAAGCTTGCTCTCCTCAGTCTTCTCAGCTAACTTCTCCTGCAGTTCAGCTAGATCTTTCCGCAAATTATCTCTGACAAACTCATCCTGAACAGCTTTCTCAGAGAGTCCAAGGAAGTCAAATCTCAGTTTCTCCAGGCTTTGTGAGAAGAATTCCTTCTCAGCCTTTACAGCAACTATCTCTGCACTTAGTTCAGAAATCCTTTTGTGTGATTCTTCTAGGTCAGAAATTAACATCTCAGAGGAATCCTCAAGGTGCTCAATCTTCAAATGTAATGCATCTCTTTCATGCTCAACCTCCAGTAGCCTGTTTCCCAACCAAGCTATTCTATCTTCCGGTTCAAGCATCCTGAACTGCTGGGGGATGCTAATCTGACCAAGGACTTCTTCCCATTTCTGTATAAGATTGTTCCTCTCCACTAGAGATTGTTCCAACATGTTATTGTGCTCAGCAAGTTCATAGAATCTCCTATGTAGCTCATCGTATTTTATTTTTATTTCTTCTGCCCCTGAATTTGAATTTGAGTTTTGTTCATCATTTATACTATCAATGGCCGCACCAGACTCAGAATTCCCATCCACAGATGATTGTTTATTACCATCAGGTACAGTAAAAGAAGCACCAACAGCCATCTTTGACAGAAGTTCTATTTTTTCTACTATATCTCTAAAATGAAAATTCTCTGGCAAATCTAGATCTTCTAACACTTCTTCAATTCTCTGAAGAACAGAATCCTTTTGGAGGAATGAGTCCCTTAAAGCAGTGGCTGAATTCCGTATGTAAGAGAGCTCTGACTCCAAAGCTTCAATTCGATCTGCATCCGCATAGGACTTGATCTTGGCTTCCAACTCTATCAGCAATGAATCCTTTGACTGCAGTTCATGTGCAAGCTTCTCAAGCTCCCCAGACTTTTCCAACAGGGTCTGCTTAAGGCTGTCCCGCTGAACTATCAATCCCTTACCTTTTGCAACAGCGATGCTAAGCTTTTCCTTGACAGAAGAAAGTTTCTGCTCTGATTGTTCAAGTTCAAAAACCTTCTTCTGAAGTTCAGCACGTGAAGTTTCGAGAGCACTATCCAGCTTTGTCAAGCCATCCCTCAGGACTGGAACTTCAGTTTCTAGCTGAATGTTTAACGTGCTGAGCTGATCAATTCTACCCTGCAGGTCAAAAAATATGGGTACAATTTCCTCTTTGATCAACACAGGCAAGGACACTGACCACTTTTCAGATGAACTTTGGCCAATAATATTGCTTTCTTGCAAACAGATCTTTGATAAGCGGATTTCTTCTGCCATATTTTCAAATTCTTCAATGTATGAAGCCACACCCTCCTCAATACATGGCAATAATGTAGTAAGAATATGGTTTGCCTTGCTGGACATTTCCATCGAAGAAAGTACTGTTGATGAATGGCTTGTGGAACGATGAACCATTTTTTCTGCTATAGCGAGGCATCTACCATGCAGTTCATCCTGCGCTTCAATTCTACTTGTAGAAACCGATTTAAGCTCCTCGTTCAGCAAGCTAAAATCGTTCATACTTTTTGTCAGAGAACTGCTGAGAGCTTCAGTTTCTTCACATTTGCTCAACAATCTTGACTCTAGGTCAGTATTCTTTGATAGCAAATATTGCCGCTCGTGCAATAAACTCTTCAAATGCTCAACAATGTCTCCATATTGACTAAAAAGAGCTTCTATTGGTTCTTCAGCATTGTATTCGACACCTGATTCATCTGGATTTCCCAATGAGTTGAATAGAAGTTCCTGCAGGGAAATGTACATTTTCTTGACAATTCCATGTGCATGTTTACTCCTTTCTTGAACATCAGAGTGTGCAGTTTTGAGCTCCACCAGAGAAGCATTAAGCTTAGCATTGTCAGTTTGAGCATGCTCTAGTTTCTCCTGAAGATTTTGAACTAACTTAGCAGCGCATTCCACAGAACTCAAAGCAAGAGAGCCAAGACCTTCACTCCCACCCAAATCACTAGGAAGTGCATTTTTACTCAAAGCGCTGAGCTTATCGGTTACTTCCATGAGCACATCTGTCAAGGACGTCCTTTCCTTCTCAAGAGTGGAAATCCTTTCAGTCACATCATTCTGCAAAAGTTCTGCTTGATCAATGAGCCTTCCAGCATGATTATCTGCATCCTGGTGTACATTAGCAACTTGACTAACCAGTTGATCAATTGTGTCCTTGTAGTTGCTCAGCTTACCAGCAAACCCATCCATTTTGGCCACAAGAACTGCAGTATGCTCTATTTCTGCTTCATGCTGTGACATAAACTTCACAGAAAGTTCTATTCTGTTGCACAGCTCAGCCACATATTCTTCTGTCTTTGCAATGTCTGACGTCATAGCCTTCAACTTCTCCACAAGGCGGCATATCATCTCCTGAGTTAATTTTCTTAAATTGTCATGCTCTCCCTCAGACATCCCAAGATCTTCCTGATTTCCTTTTGACTCAAAGGACTGAATGAGCTTTGATACCAGCACACGTCCATCAGACCGAGAAGAAATCCTCTCTACTAACTTTTGAAGGTCACGCAAATCACCTTTAGCGACCTTCAGATGGCCTTTCAGTGACTGTAAAGCAGTAGAGTTACATGAGTCATTCTCAGCGACTAGAAGCGGACGCTGATTATCATCATGTCCAATTAATTCAGGACTTGTGGTTTCTCTTTCCACATTTTCAACAATGATTTCTGATGAGTCCAGACAGGCCTCATTGTCTTGATGTGCATTCCGGGCTTCACCCAGCACAACATTGCACTTAGCATACAACTCTTTGGTTATAGTTTGATAAATATCGACGCTGGTACTTGTGTAAATATTTTCTTCAATTAATTGCTCCGTAAGTTGTCCAAAGTATGTTTCCATATCTCTGGCGTGCGACTCAAGATGCTCATGTTTGGCATATGAAAGATGCAGCTCCTCCTTTGTTTCAGACAAATCTAATAAAAGGCCCTGCTTTTCATTAGATAGACATAAATTGTCCTCCTCAAGTTTCTTGATTGCTTCTTTTTCAAAGGAAGAATTTGCAGATAACTCCAAATTATCATTTTGCAGTGTTTCCAACGAATTCCTGCAACTTGCTAATTCAACCAAAGTACGTTCCATGTTCTCCTTGGTGGAACGCAGTTCACACTCTAAATCTGCACATCTATTACTGCCATCATTCATTTCCTCTTTCAAAGAAGCTAAACTAAGTTCAAGGTCAGACAGATTTGACAAAACCCTTTTGTTTTCACTACACAGATGCTCCCGCTGCTCCTCAACTTCCTTTCTAGCTTCTTTCTCAAAAGTAAGAGTCGCAGTTAGCTCCAGGTTCTCCTTCTGTAGAGCTTCCAGCATTGCTCTGCAACCAGCTAACTCATTCAGAATTTGTTGTGTGTTCTCCTTGGAGGACTGTAACTCAAACTCCAGATGTTCGCATTTATTGTTGCTAGTATTGATTCTGTCTGTCAGAGAAGCTACAGTTAGTTCAAGTTCTTCCTTCACAGTATTCATGTCCGAGAGCTCATGTCTACATTGCTGAAGCTCTTCACAGACAGCTAGCTTGCTTTTTTCAGTCTCTTCTAGTAGTACCTGGAGATTGATGACTTCATTAGAAGACTGTGGTGTATCATCTGTATTCAGGTCTGCACTCTCATCCATCTGCAGCTGGAGAAAATCCCTTGACATAGTTGCCAAGTAGAGATGCCTCTGGATATCCTCTAAATGGTATGGCGCCATGTCTTGTGATATATCACGTGCAAGTAAAGCTTGGTCAATCTCCTTATGCGGAGGAAGAGAGACTGCCCCAATTGACTTAGCATGTAAACTCAAATCATCTACCGTGACAACTCCCTCTGTAGCATTTGCCACACCTGGATCTTCTTGAACAGCAGCTTCTTCCCCCAGTGCATCAGCTTCCTTGTCAGTGTCTTCTCTTGAAGTACTCTCAGAAGCCTCATGTGAAGCTCTAACATTCAATTCTCCTTCACACTCTACCACAGCACCAGATGGCATCCCAGAAACATCAATCTCCGTTTCTCTAGCCCTTCCTTCCCCCTTATTAGTATTACCAGCTCCAATGTCTTGAGAGTGACCAATGATATCTGTAATTTCTTTGGAATCAGAACTGGTCGGCCTCTCAACAGGGTACATCTCCACCTGCTGGTGTTCCTCTGCTTGGCTGTCGCCATTATCATCAGCTATGTCACCTTGGGAAGATGTGCACAGCTCCGTGTTTTCCTTTAAACTATTATCTGGCAGTTTCTCATCAACATCCATCTCCACTGGCTGAGCTCCTTCTATAAGAAGGCCAGAACCATCTGCACCGGTAACCGGGATCGTTGCACCTTCGCCATCACCTGGTCCAGGGTTTACATGCTCTAAACTGCCATGTTCACTTACACCTACATCCTGTGCATTACCACCACCATCACCACCCTCCTGTACAGGCAAGACATCGGCATTATCCACATCGCAGGACTCCGCGGTATCAGGCCCCTGCCCATTGCATTGCTCCACCTGCGACCTCGCCGCTTCCTGCATTGAAACATCAGTGTTAAACACAACAAGCACTGATCCAAACCCCCACCCACACCCACCCAGAAGGAGCACAAGCTTCACCTCAAACGGCGTGCGATGACTAGCACCGCCCTCACCGGCGAGCAACTTCAATCCAACGGGAGATTTCGGCTCCGGCATGGCCTCCTCCGCGTCTGCCCCCGACTTCGACGAGCCCTCCTCAGCCTCCGCCGCATCCGCCTTGGCTTCGGCCTTCTTACCAGGACCCCTCTTCTCCTTCTTCTTCCTGAACTGCTGCAGCTGCACGCCCATGGCACCCAACACTCGATCAGACCCAAAACAAAAAAAAACCTCAAAAAAAAAATCATCAAAAACAACAACGAGCTCGCGGGATTCAGTACCTTCTGACGCCCAGCAGCGAGGAGATCAGTGCGGTTCCTGTTCCCGCCACCGCCGCCGCCGCCCTTGCGATCCATGCGGCGAGATCTCTCCCCGGGAGCGGGTCAAGCAAGACTGGTAGGCAGCATCAATTCCGCCAAACCCTAGCCCCCAGCGCGACGACCAACCCCCGAACCAAATCTGCGCTCACGAACCGAAGGATCTCGGTGGCCGCGTGCCAATCCGCGGCGGCGGGGGGGAGAGAGATCTGAGGACTCCTCCCGCGGGTGGAAAAATGGCGAGGGAATCTGGGGGTTTGGATTTGGGGGGGATTCGGGGAGGAGGAGGAATTTTGACGCGAAATTTTTTTTGAGATTTCGTCGCGGTTCACGTTAGCGTGCGTGGGCACGGGTTGGTGGTGGGGTGGTGGTGCGGAGGTGTCGGTTCGTTCGATCGAGAGGGAGAGAGGTGCGAGACGAGCAAGGAAGAAGACGGGTTTTTTTTTTCCCCTCTTTTTCGTTCTTGTATCTAATTAACCCTTTTCTTGTAGGTGTCGTTGATCTCTCAATTTCGTGAATGTATTTCGAGCCATGTGTTTTTCATTTTTTTTTCTTTCTCCTGTGTATTGTTGTATATGATGGTGATGGATAAAAAGAGCATATTCTTTTTGAGAAGCTTGTGAAGAAAAAGGAACAGTTTTAAGGAGATTATTATTGGTTGGTTTGTTGATGAAGAAAAGGCACGTGAAAATGCATGGGTATTTTTAAAAAATTAAAGTCAAAATGCATGAAAGTTCAGACTATAACGGATAATGGATAATATAAAATAAGTGTTTGCCATTTATAAACCACGTTTTTCTTTCTTTTTTGGGTCATTTTCTCAAGGTGTTGTTGATCTCTCAAATTCGTGAATGTATTTTGAGCCATGTGTTTTTCATTTTTTTTTCCTCCTTTTGTATTATTGCATATGATGGTGATGAACAACAAGTGAATATTCTTTTTGAGAAACTTGTGAAAAAAAGTTTAAATGGAATTATTGGTTGGTCTGTTGACGAAGAAAAGGCACATGAAAATGCTTCAAACTTCAACTAAGCCTTATTTAGTTGGGAAAAATTTTAGGTTTAGTTGTCACATCGGATATACGGACACACATTTGAAGTATTAAACGTAGTCTAATAACAAAACAAATTACATATTCCGCCAGGAAACTACGAGACGAATTTATTAAGCCTAATTAATCCGTCATTAGCAAATGTTTACTGTAGCACCACATTGTCAAATCATGGCGCAATTAGGCTTAAAAGATTCATCTCACAAATTACACGCAAACTGTGTAATCGGGTTTGTTTTGTCCACATTTAATACTCCATGCATGTGTCCAAACATTCGATGTAATATGGGTGAAAAGTTTTTGTTCTGGAAACTAAACAAGGCCTAATGGAGACATAACGTACTATACGGATAATGGATAATACAAAATAAGTGTTTGCCATTTATAAACTAGAGATTCACCATTATACTTTATTTATCATATGTGGCATTGAGTTATGATATCCTAGTCAGGCTAAGGTTTATATTATCACTGTGATACATTTTCTATATACAGCATAGAGTTATTAAAGTATCTTGAAGAGTTAAAAATACGGCTAAATTTATTTAGTGCCTTTGATAAAAATATTAATGCTTACTATAAAATTTAGATAAAAATAAGGTAGTACGCATACGTAATTAAGTATAAACGACACTTCTCATGAACAATCGTGCTAGTATACCACTACACTTAGGCTGCGTTCTTTTGTGTGATATAGGATGAGAAAGAACCTCTTTTCCGCGCGCACGCTTCCCAAACTACTAAACGGTGCGTTTTTTACAAAAGTTTTCTATAGGAAAGTTGCTTTAAAAAATCATATCAATCCATTTTTAAAATTTAAAATAGTTAATACTCAATTAATCATACGCTAATGGCTCACATCGTTTTGCATATCTTTCCAATCTCCCCAATCTTCTTCTCCTCAAACACACCATTATTACTGTCTCACATCACATATAATCAAACAAAACTGAGTAATATATGTACATATAGCACTAAATCAAGCAGGTAAAATCATTGCTCATAAGCGTAGACCAAGAAACCAATCCAAATCCTCTTGTCATTACAGCCCTGTCACCTCAAGAAATCATGGAACTGTTCCCCCACAGCGCGTCCCGTTCCTCTTCCGATCTCCAATCAACGATACCACACACAATCCATCATCCATCCATCCATCCACCGATTTATCACTCAGACATCGACGACTATCCATCCACCATCAAACCAACTATCCAAGCGAGGAGTCCAACCAAAAGACTCCATCGTAAAACAACATATTTACAAACGAAAAATAATTTATAAATAAAACTCATATATACATATTTTTTATCTAAAAAATACTAAAAATAAATTATGATAAAAAGAACCCAAAAATCAATTTTAAATTTAAAGTTTTGACTTATAAATATAAACATAAATCAAAAGACGAGGCCGCAAACCAAACCAACCCAGTCCAGTAAACCGCACCGCCGGCCGGTGCCTTGCAAACGACGACTCACCATCACCACCACTACCACCCGCCGCGTTGGTCGGCACGTCACACAAACACACACGTGCGCGCGCCGCACCGATCGGACGGCCAGGATCGCACCGGCCGCCCAACCGACGGCTGCAGATTCCCCCCACGGGGAATATTCCTTTCCCCCACCTCTCTCCTCTTCCCCATCCACACCTCACGGGAAGCTGTCCCTTCTCCTCTTCTCCTCCTCGGCTGCGGCCACGGCGACGACGACGACGACGAATTCGAGCGAGGCGATCGGCGATGGAGGCGGTGGCGATCTGATCCGCTCTTCCCGTCTCGGCCTCGCGCTCCTCTCCCTCCCTCGCGGTGTCTCGGGGTGAGGGGAATCTTTTGTTTTTGTTTTTTTTGACCGTACTGTTCTGGCTGGGTGTTTCTTGGTCGTGGTCCAAGATCGGCGGGTGGTTTGTTTGTCCGGGCTCCATGGATCGATCTCTCTCTGTTGATCTGTGTAGCTGGAGAAGCTCAGCTCCGTGGGAGGATTACGCGCGCGTGATTGGTTGGGCTGTGTGTAAATTTGGTTGCCGGCCATTTTTGTGCTCCGGTGGTGAATTTGGGTGGTGAGGCTGTCTGCACAATCCGTGGCGATGAGCTGGGAAATGTGATGGGGGTGTGCTCGTATCGGGATGATGGTGGGTTGTTTGGTTGACCCGGATGAGTGATGATGATTCACAATCTTGCATCCATGAACCGTGGGATGGGTGTCCATGTCTTTCTCCGGGATTGGGAATTGGTACCACCACCATGGCGGTTCTAAAGGCGGGAGGAGATAAATGCAGGCGGCAATGCATGCTTGGTGATGGAGCATCTGTATGAGTGTGCGGGGATCGATGCTCCATGTTCATTCAGAACCATAGCCGAGCAACTGAAAGCTCATCTTGAAGACTGGGACTGCGTTTAATTTATAGCTCATCTTTGATTACAAAGTTGTTTGATCTTCTGCATTCATAGATAGTTTGGCAGTTGTGTAAGCTCAAAAAGCCGTTGTTATTTCCTAAGGTAGTACTAACTTATTTTCTTTTGTTTCCTTAGTAGGAAATGGCGATCATGGTGGATCCTCCAAATGGGATGGGTAACCAAGGGAAGTATTACTACTCGATGTGGCAAACTTTGTTTGAGATAGACACTAAGTATGTGCCAATCAAGCCCATCGGGCGAGGAGCTTATGGGATTGTTTGTTCATCCATAAATCGTGAGACCAACGAGAAAGTAGCAATAAAGAAGATACACAATGTTTTTGACAACCGTGTTGATGCACTAAGGACTTTGCGGGAGCTGAAACTTCTCCGGCATCTCCGCCATGAGAATGTTATTGCTTTGAAGGATATAATGATGCCAGTACACAGGAGGAGTTTTAAAGATGTGTACTTAGTTTATGAACTCATGGATACTGACCTGCATCAGATAATCAAGTCACCTCAGGGTCTTTCCAATGATCACTGCCAATATTTTCTTTTTCAGGTAATACCTGGACCTCTCTTTTCTATTCTATTCTACATTTACTTACTCAAGAGTAATTGTGTGTTTTTAATGGCCCTTGATGATTGCTTAGAATTTGTGACAGTGCATCTTATATCGGCAAGCCTCATCCAGTCTTATAAGATGGTTCATTCCCAAATGCACGAGGCACAATCTTAACTTGAATGGTTCTTCTGTCAGTTAAAACTTCAAAGTCAAACTGATTTTTTAAACATGTAAAATTGTGAATGTTTTGCTTCAGCAATGATTTGTGAGCATGTCAATGACAATACTTTTTTGAGTAATGTATTCCTAATTTGAAATAACCAATGTAACTTGTAGTATCATTCAGTTTGATTCCAGTTGATTTGATGTTTTTGCATTAGTAGTATTTGAAAAAAACTGAAAAAATGGCCTACTATATTTATTCCAACCCAGATTCCAACAGTTTAGACTGATAATAAATAGATGGAAGGCAAAACTATATCCCTGTAGTCTGCAGCTTTGAGACAAACTAAACTACACACTTTGTGCATTAAGTATTGCCATCATGATTCCTCTTTTTATACATTTTATTTTAATTTGTAGAGTTGAACATTTATTTTCATGTGTCACAGGCACAACATCCATGCATTCCCTTGTTGCCTCATCAAGTACATAAAAAAGCAGCTATTCTAATGTCCGTTCAACCTAAAACTGGAACTGGAACCATCTAGCCCTTTTTAGATTTCCATCTATTCTAACTTATTTTATTAATTTCGTTAAACCACATTTCCATTAAGAATTTCATATACAGTTCATAATCTAAAACCTAGATCTTCTTTCAAATAGTTCTGCATAGAGGCTTCTGCATGAAACCACACAAGTAGACCCTCTTGTTTACAAGACATAAATATTTTTCTGATGAATTGTCTGTTCATCCTACCCTTCAGATTCATTTATTCTGTTGTCTTGAGTTCATTTTGGATTGTCTACCATGTATTTCTTATTTTTTGCAATCCGTATTTTCCAGATGATTTAAGAGAATGTTGTTTTCTTGATTGTAGTTGCTTCGAGGACTGAAATATCTCCATTCAGCAGAGATACTCCACAGAGACCTGAAACCTGGAAATCTACTGGTTAATGCAAACTGTGATCTCAAGATATGTGATTTTGGTCTTGCACGCACAAACAGTAGTAAAGGTCAGTTTATGACTGAGTATGTTGTCACCCGCTGGTATAGAGCTCCTGAGTTGCTCCTTTGCTGTGACAACTATGGCACTTCCATTGATGTTTGGTCTGTTGGTTGCATCTTCGCTGAGCTACTTGGTCGGAAACCTATTTTCCCAGGAACTGAGTGCCTAAATCAGCTCAAGCTCATTGTCAATGTTCTTGGCACCATGAGCGAGTCTGACTTGGAGTTCATTGACAACCCAAAAGCTCGCAGATATATCAAATCCCTCCCCTACACTCCCGGTGTGCCCCTCGCGAGTATGTATCCGCATGCACACCCTCTTGCCATTGATCTTTTACAGAAGATGCTCATATTTGATCCTACCAAAAGAATCAGTGTCACCGAGGCTCTTGAGCACCCTTACATGTCCCCTCTGTATGATCCAAGTGCAAATCCTCCCGCGCAAGTGCCTATCGATCTGGACATAGACGAGAACATCAGTGCAGATATGATCAGGGAAATGATGTGGCACGAGATGCTCCACTACCACCCTGAAGTTGTTGCAGCAATGAGTGCCCGATGATCTTCAACTGTCCCCAGGAACTTTGCAGGCTCACTTTTTTTTCTTCTTCTAAAAGCCTACGGCGATTATCGCACCTATTAAGTAACCAAGACGTGCAAGACTTATTTCATGTATATATGAGCGAAATAAGAACGTTGTTGTATCCATATAGTTCATGTTATGGACCATTACTTGGTGTATGCATTTCACATTTCCACTGGACAGTTATGTTGTTGTACTAGTTCATGATGAGAAGTGCTATTAAAGTGAATTCAGTAATGCTGCGAAGTGTTAATTCTGGATTATGTTATAATTTTTTGCGGTTACTGCTTCTTTAGTGGTGATCTGCTGCAAGATCTCTTGTTTCTACTTTCAGAAACGTATGGTGTGGCCTGCAGTTTTGAACTTGCGTAATATGGCTATGAATTGACTTACCTTTGTGATAATTCATCCTGAAAACAAATCCGCTATGTCTGCAGTACTAGTAAGAATTTGGAGACACAATTTGTTTCAGGTTTTACAAGGCTCTGAAAATAACGGCGGCAATCAGTGCGCCGTGTATATCATCAGCTAAAGCTAACATTGCTCTGAACTTGGTTAAAATTGTGATATATCTAAATCTTTCGTCAACGCATGGATGGCTATCACAATAAGCCGAAACAAAGCGATGAGCCATCAGTCCGGCTTCAAAATATGCAGCTGATGAGCTGAAGATAGTGCAGAGGATCACAGAAAATATCACGGTATATGCAGCATAAATACAATTACGGATTGATCTGCTTTTGTGATATTGCATGCTGCAAGATTTTAGAGTGGTATTTTTACTGAGCTTTTGTTTCAGGGTGACGTTTTTCCAAAGCCCGTTTTTTTTAGTGGCGTGTAGGAGTAACCACTGAAGATTCCATTAGGAGCGCAGTATTGCATCTAGTTTCAGAATGGTGTTGATTTCCGAGTCTTGATTTGAGGGGATGTTTTTGAAGGTAATATTCTGTTAAACCTGTTGTTTCTTAGATTACTACTACACTAACTAATAACTGCACTGCATTTTATATTTTTATTGCATGGAGTTCTTAGCTGCCTTCCTGCAGCAGCAGAACATGAATTTCTGAAAGGCGTTCTGCTGAACATGAATTTCAGAGAGCGCAGCGTGCTTTGTCAAGTGCAGTTTCTTAGTTTCAAATCTCATCCATTTCGTTTGATTTGCTTTGCTATGAACATTTCAAAGAACGTGCCGCTCAATCGAGAATTTGAAGCTGTAGAAATGGATTAAAAAACTGTATATTCTAACATCACTTTATTTCCTTCCTTTTTTTTACCGCACATTGTAAACCTGAGACAAACTATGTGATCCTCCATCACAACTCATTCTAAAGGCTTCTCTATCTTCCTCCAAAGCAAAACTCCAAACAAAGCCAAAAAATAAAACCTCACTCATCACATCTCTTAGCTAATGAGGAACTAAAAGGCCAAAAAGGGTGCTCATAAAAAAGGCTAGCAAGTATCACTGTCTGTCACTCTGTCTAGCTCTCTTCCTCCAGGACTTGTTGAAGAAGAGATGGGCTCCTAACAAACCTTCCCTGCAAGAATCCAAGCACAGAAACAACAAATCAGTAACTTGCAAGATCTGCTCTGATAGTGCTATAATGTATAGCTCTAGGTGAAACAAATGGGGGTATTATGTTGTGAACAATGAGTTCTTTGGTTTTTGCCTTACAATTAAATGGACCTTTTTTTATGCTTTCAAGAATCAGTTCTAGTGCTTGCCTTCATCCGAGGCCGGCAGTCTGCGTTCACCTTCCGGACCTGGTACCGGATCTTCTTCGAGAACAGTCGGGTGCGCCGCTTCTCCTTGTACCTCATGACGCTGGCTTCCCTGATGCCACCAGCACCATTTCCATTCTCAGGGAACAGATCAATATCTGCAAGTTTAGCCTGCACCAGCAGTAAAAAAAGACTGTAAGTGCTTCTTTTCATTCAGAATCCTAGGAAAGAGATGCAAATTACGTCTACAGTTTGAATCATCGTTATAATGTTTCTCATAGTAGCAATACATGCCAATGCATAGTGTGTCCAAACTACATAGAAGCCGGACACATCTGGGACGGTTATGTTTCCCCATTATGACAGCTGCAAATCTTGCCATTTGTGAGAGCAAATTGCAGAAAAAGCCAACTGAATTGGGGCTGGAGTTTGTTGCAGATGCTCCATCACTGGCCCAGAGGGCAAAGATTTGAGCCCAAATGACTCTTTGCAAGAAGACAACCATGTAATCCATGGCAGACGATCTCCAGGCCCAATTGTCTGTGGTCCATTGTTGAATAATTCATTTTAACTGCATAGGTTTACTTCAAACCTCTAAACTATCTAGGTGTTGTTTTTTTTACAGAATTTCATCACTTCTGAATACATCCATTTTTATGGATTACTGGAGACAGTATCAGTGAAACTCTACAAAAGGTGCTTGCTTACAAATATGTACTAGAGTACTATAGTGTTGTACTGTTGTGACTTGTGAGGGACCGTCCTTTTGGATAAACAGTTCCAAATCAGAGGCTAGTTCTCCAAGTGGCTGTTGCATATCGAACACGTGTTTTACTGGCTCTTTCCTTGTTATTTTCACTATAGGAAACAATTGGTTGGATATACAACTTATGTATCTTCATTCTAAAAGAAATTCTTATTAGAAGAATTGTAGAAACGGAGGTGAAAATAACTAAATAAGCTACAAATGACATAAATTCTTTCTTGTTATGCAACTGCAATAAAAACGTTAACCATAAAACATATTCAGAGTTCATCTGTTCATTTTTTGCTTGGAATATGTCCCTTCAATCTGAGTAACAATGCTATGGAAGAGGTAAATTTCATCTAAAAATTGTGCCAAATCTATCTTATACTAAATGAGTTTTTTTATACTGAATGAGCTATCACTCCGTACAGAACAAATATGAATTTTTAGAAGTTGAGTTACTTTATTCATTCATCAAATATAATATATGTGTCCTATGTTTTACTCTCCTATTTTAATAAACCATTTTTATATGGAAAATATTTGCCATGTTTGAGTGAATTCATTTACTCACCCGCACTTCGGCGGCCGACTTGGGCGACTCCGGCGCGCCGCCGTCGGCGAACATCGACCCCTTGCCGGACCACGCCTTGAGCACGTCGTCGGCGTCGAGCTTCAGCCCCAACCCGGTCTTGGGCGCCATCGTCGGCGCGCCGTCGCCATTGCCGGCGTCCACTGTTCCATCGGCGGCTTCCTCCTCCTTGCACCTCGCGTCGGGCGGCGACTCCTCCTCCTCCTTCTCCCTCGCCATCACCTTCTCCACCTTCACCACCTTCTTCTTCTTGCTCTTCTTCTTCTCCGGCGCCGATGGTGGCGATGGCATTGCGGCCGTGGTGTTCGACGCTGTCCCCTGTGGCCGTGGCGGCGTCGGCGTCGGCGTCGGCGGCGGCGGCGCCACGGTGATGTCTTTCACTGGCACGGCCGGCCACATCCACCACGCGCCGTCGTCGTCGCGCCGCTTGAGCGCGCGGTTGAGGTTTGGCCGCGCGCCGTGGCGCGAGCCGAGGCCGAGCTCGAACCGGCCGGCGAGGCCGACCACCATGAGGCTCCTGAGGTAAGGGTGTATGCCGGAGCTGGAGAGGATGGAGTCGTCGGAGGTTGTGGCGGCGGCTGTGTTGGTCTCCACGGTGAGGCTGCCCATGATGCCGTCGATGCCCCCGGCCGCGCCGTCGGCCGCGGCCTCGTCGACGTCGAGGAAGCAGTCGTCGTCGAAGTCGAGCTCGCCGGGCTCGTCGGTGGTGTGGGGGCTCGCCGGTGACAGCGGCGCCGGGTCGCGGAACTCCCGGAAAGCGCTGCTCACCGGCGCCGGCGACGAGCAGTTCTGCCGCGGCGTCGGCGGCGTGTCGCGGAGGAGGAATGCGGCGTCGGCGAGGACGGGGAGCGGCGGGAGGAGGTCGGAGGAGGGGTCGAACACCGCCGACAAGCCGGAGAGCTGCCTCGTCGGCGGCCGCGACGCCGTCTTGGGGCTCTTCTTGACGGGGAAGACGGAGGGGTGGATGGACGCGAGCAGCGCCGCCGCCTCGTTGTACGCCTGGTTCGGCCGCTTCCGCGGCGCCCTGGCGCGCTTCAGCGACACCGACGTCGCCGACGACGACGACGTGTTCGACGCCTCCGACAGCGTCGACGACGGCGACGAGTGCGCCGGCCGCAGCGGCGACGAGTGCGCGCCCGGCGACGTCGCCGCCTTCACGATGTCCAGGTCCAGCCTCAGGCCGGTCGGTATGCAAGAAGACGACATTGCAATGGCCGATCAGCTTCTTGGCAAGCTGCAAATGGAGAAGAGCTCGAGGTGTTCGTCCAAGAAACGCCTAAACCCCTAAAATCTCAAGGCTGCCAAACTCTCCAAAAGCAATGAAAACAACTGGGAAAAATTTCCTTTCCTCTGAAACTTTCTGATGCCTTGTAATAAGATTGACAAGAAGGTGAAAAAGGCACCCCAAAAAATGAAAATTTTGGGAAAGGTGTTCCAACTTCACTTCAAACTGCAACACAAAGCTCAGCAGCAACCTTGGGGATTCTCCAAAGGCAAAAAAGGTTCAACTCCAAGAACACCTTGGAAAAGATGAGGGATTGAAAAGACTCTGCTTCTGTAGCTGTACTGCTGTGTGGCAAGAAGAAGTCAAGGAGCAGAGCAGAGGCACAGAGCAGCAACAGGAGGAGGAGAATTCTCTGAGCTGAATTGAGAAATGTTTTGGGATTGGAGATAGATGAGCAGAGCAGCAATGCTAATTCTAGTTGAGGAGAGAGAAAGAGAGAGATGGTAGTACTATGGTAGGAGAGGGGTTAGAGAGAGAAAGAGAGAGAGAGAGATGTGGGGAACTGGAGGAGGGAGGAGGAAGAAAGGGTTCAAGAGAAGGGAGGAGGGGGTGGGGTTTTAGAGGGAGAAGGAAGAAGGCTAGAGGAAGAGACAAGCCTCCTCTCATTGGGTCCCTTTCCTTCCCCCCTGCCTGTGGGACCCACTGCAAATTAGCTGGACCCACACTTGCATTTTGTGCAGGCCACCCTCCTCTCTCCACATCTTCTTTGTGCTCTTTTTTTCCTCTCCTCATCTCTCTAGGTTGTACATATGTTGGCATTGTTTGGGGCATCTGGATTTGCAGTTAGTATAATTGAGACCAATTTGCCCTAGGCAGTAGTGTTGAAAACTTCATCACCCTCACCTGGTAATTGTAAAAACCTTTTTAAAAATTCTTTAGATATCATGAAGTACATAGTATTTATAAGTCCTATTTTGGGGGAAATAATCAAATGTGAAATATTAGAAGAGAGAGATAAATGTTGGCAAGATTTAACAAAAAAAAGTGGACAATATTTAGGGTTAACATACATGATTTTGAGGAGGCTGTAATCTATAGTTAATTAGTACGGGCCTGTTTAGTTGGTGAAATGAAAATTTTTGGGTGTCACATCGGCCGTTTGACCGGATGTCGGAAGGGGTTTTTTAGACACAAATGAAAAAACTAATTTCATAACTCGCCTGGAAACTACGAGACAAATCTTTTGAGCCTAATTAATCCATCGTTAGCACATGTGGGTACTGTAGCACTTATGGCTAATCATGGCCTAATTATGCTCAAAAGATTCGTCTCGCGATTTAGATGCAAACTGTGCAATTAGTTTTTCTTTTTATCTATATTTAATGCTCTATATATGTGTCCAAAGATTCGATGTGATGTTTTTAGGAAAAGTTTTTAGGGAACTAAACATGCCCTACATGTAATTAGGTTTTATGATTGATTCATTCTCATTTATTTATTATTGGAACACATGACAAAGGTAACTATTTGTTAGGTAGTTCCTGATTGTCTGTTGGCTGTTGCTAAACGTTCCCCTAATCAATATTTACTCTGTAGAGACGGCACTGGCCAATGAATCATGGGACTAAAAGATTACTCAACTCAATTATTCTATACAGTATTTTGGACCAGTGCACCTTGTCTCCATGCTTCTTGTGCTGGATGAAAACCAAAAAGCTCTGAAGCATTCCTCCATATGTTTTTGGCGAAATGTCAAGTGACACTTCTCCTGCAGGTTGTCTCATGCTAGCTACACGTCTGTGTGAAGATGCTAGAGACGTTATAATATTGATTAGGTATCTCCTAGAAACAATCGGTATATTATTATTTTTTAACTGTGATTCTCCTATGCAAGTATAGTATATTATTTGTTTGATCAAGTTTGTTGTCATTTACTAGGTGTTAATTAGACACATATTTTTTGTCGAATGTCTCGACAGATTCAGTACATGTTCCTACCTTATGCAGGATATGCAGTTCTCTCCTTTTCTACTCTTTTTTGGTTAGATGACAACACATTAGGTCTAACCGACAAGAAGCAAATACCAGCGCACAAAATTAAAAGTTTGATACAAGTTGTCATTTAAACTTGTATCCATGGGCGAATCTGACAAGTGAAAATTTGCATTCTCGGTGCCACCTCTTATGAGATAAAATCAACATGTTTCATAAAAAAAAATGGAGTCGACATGGTTTCCCTATGCATTGAATTAGACCAATTCAACTCGCTTAAGTTTGATAAACATATGAAAATTCAGAGTATTGATGAACATGGATGTTTTATTTATACAGTATTTTCTTAACATAAGTGAATTATTGTCAACTATCGACTCATGATTACCAAACTATTTGCCCACAGCTTTGCCTTAAACTAAGGCCTTGCATATGGTTTCCTTATACATTGAATTAGACTATTGATGCACACAAGCATGTTTCATTTACATGAAAAAAAATTCTTTGGAGAAATTAATTGCCAACTACTATCGGGCCTGTTTAGATTGTAGCCAAAATAAATCTAACCAAATTTTGATAATGCTAAAATTTTGGTAAGATGGCAATATTGTCAAAATTTTGGCAGGATTTCTTATATATTTACTAAATTTGGCAACAAACTAAACGTAGACTTTTTTTTTGTCAAGTTTGCCAATAAATGGTATGGTTAAAAGTAACATCAAAATGAACCGCCCATAATTTTACAGTCACCAAAACATTTGCCCACAGATTTGCCTTAAAATTAAGAGACAATCTACCTCAAAAAGTATCCAGTGCAAAGTTCCAATCACACCAACAGCAAAAGCAAGAACAACAAGGGGCATTTCAGTAAAGAAACAACAGAGGCCTCTTGTGGTTGCCCATCCCATCTACCCCTCAACTAGGCTACTGTGAGTACTGACCTCCCAACGGAAAAGCACCCACTATAATTTGCCCTATCCGCTGACGTGGCGCCCTCCCATTGGCTCCCCGGATTCTCTCTGCACACGTGGCACGCTCTTTATCGGCTCGGCAACCTTTTCACGAGATGCCGAGGAGGGTGGGTCCCACCGGATCTTGGAAGCTTGTTCGCATCCATGGCTGACCATGATTGGCCCCAAATGCAACACCATGAGATGAGAGAGAGATTACTGTTACATGCACAAATAAAGCTCTTCCTATTTTGTTTTTGTGTTGCAAGATTTGGGTCCCTTTTAAATTCAGAGATAATGCTTCACATGACAGAAAAGAAAAACTTTCGACATAAAACTATCTCTGTGAGGAATTACATCACGATATTCAGCTAGAGATGGGTCCGGTGAAATATGTCAGCCAGTAGGGCCATATTGTCATCTGGTGATGGAAACCACGGGCTATTATCGGGTGCGTGCGCAAAGCGACGTTCTTATTAAAATTTATGAATAGGAGAATTAGGATGTGTGGTAGCCATGCCCCATACGTTGTGACCCCATGGTTCAACCACTAATGATAGAGAGGAGGGGCCATTTGAGCCATTTCTGGCCAACCAAATTAATCCTTTGCTCTTGTTTAGGATGAGGTTTTTCCTTGGGTCCTTGTAGGACAGGCATGGCTGGATATTTTGCAAGATATTTTATTTTATTTTTACTTCAAAAGTGTCTCTTCGTGGCTGGCAGCCCACGCTTTGTTCTTTACACAAATATAAAATAGATTTTTCTAGTTTGACAATGGGAATTGGATTATTTATGCAATTAGATAATTATGTCATGATTTAATTTTAGAAAATTATTCTTATTATTGGAACTCATAATTATATACAACAAATTAATGGAAATGGCAATAGGATACAGGGGGCAAAGTAATACCACATATTTTAAGTGTTTGCTAGCTTAGCTACATATAGATGCAATATATATTACTCTTGCATATATATCTTTTATAAAGACGCGAATATTAGGGAATGTCCTAATATCAAATAATTAGAAGGGGTGAGGCTTCGGACCCCTGTGTGTTTCTCCATATATATCTTTTATATATTTCAGTATTTTGACTAATTTTAAGATAAATATCTCTATAGCTGTTGCCACCAAAGTTCCAACACAGCACTTAATCTTCCCCAGCTTGAATGGCCAGGATGTACCAACCAATCGTGTACATCTACGTATAGTAGATACAACACAGTTAAGGATAGGGCTCATCCCCATCAGCTGCAGGTGACCTAGAACGTACTTACAGATGTGTGCTGTTGCTCGCCGGCTATTTTGAAGCAATTTTGTCCCTTTGTCTCCATTGGCAAAAGACCCATTTTACGGCTCTCCTTTGTTGTCGACATATATCCGAACATCTTCCCGAAAAATCGATCGCGAGAAACGACTCCAAACTACAATATTTTCTCTAGTACTATTGATATATGAAAGAAAAAACATTTTACTCACCCAAACTATCTCGTTGGATCACTTATCATAGTTCTAAAATATTTTCATGACTATTAGCTTGAATTTTAAAACATGTATGTTTAAATTAGTCTTAGTGCTTCCAACCTATGTAAACAACGATGAAAAAGTATTGAAAGGTAAATTATCATGCATATACCAATTCTCTTCTTCTAAATATAAAAGTGGAACAAAGTTTTGCTTAGGTTTCAAAAAAAAATCATGCATATACCAATTCTACTAAATTGCATTGCAAAGTACGACTTATATAGAGAGAGATGAAAAGAAAAAAAATAATATTTGGGATCTAGTAACAAGGTTTTCAATTTCGGTGGTTACCAAAAAATTAAAAATTTCGTGATTTCCAGGTTATTCGGACCAAAATTATTTGAAATCTTAACATTTTTTGACTGAATTTAAACAAATTTATAAATATTTGACAAAAAATGAAAATTTTGGGGAGATTTGTGTTTGCGGGTGAGGCCTGAAATTACTGAAATTTCAAACCCTAGCTAGTAAGGTGAACCATTTTCAATAGTTTGAAGTGTTAAAACGAGCCAATAATTTGTTGAGGGGGTTAAGTGCTCCGTAAAAATGTTCGGGGGAGTAAAATGGATTTTTTTCTTGACATATAACATGCCATGTGTATACATGTATGAAGAAAGCATATTTGATATGTGCTACTCATGTACTACTAGGGACTTTATCCAAAGGACACGATTTGGATATGAATTTGTCCCTCTACCTAGGAGATATTTGTAGCTAGGCATTATATTAGCAGCAATTTGCATGAGAGAGAGAGAGAGAGAGAGAGAGAGAGAGATATGCATGTCCTATGGTATGGTTTGTTGTCACTGTAGTGCCAAACGAATTAAGATGTGTAGCATGGCGAATCAAGCATGACACGAGACCTTGCCGAATGGTGGTACCACACGACGCACCGGACATGATAATTAATTTTTCAGATTTTAGCTAAGCTACTGAAGAAAACAAGAGGAGCCAGAAAAAAACATGAAGGGGAAAGATTTAGATTTTATATATAATGGACAAATTAATAAATGAATATAGTGCCATTGGACTTGATATTTTCTTTTTCTTCCTTAAAAGAATATTATTTTTTTAGAAATGATATGTGCGTGACAGACTGACAGGTCGGAGGAGTTCTAGAAAACATGAACCACAC